CTCTCTCTCTCTCTCCCCCCCCCCCCCCCCCTCCCTAACTGTATGATATCGGGCGACTTCCTGATTGGAGTCATCCAACATTCGATGTGGCCCCAGATGTCTTTTCCTCTCTTCCTCTGTCGTTCTCTCTTTCTCGCCATCACCTGCATATCCACATTTGCTCTATCCGCCGCCAGATTCAGGTCCTTCGTCATTATCCTGCTCTCTCCTTTGCTTACGACCGGTTCCCCTCCCCTCCGCTTTGAGGCCCTCTTCCCACCTTCCAACCTCTTCTTCCCCACCTTGACCGGATCCCCTTCCACAAGCCGCATTACTCACTCTGCTGCGTTGGCTTTCTTTCTCCAACACTTCATCGCCCTCTGCGTCTTACCCTGACTGGCCACCCGACCCCCGTCCTGATCAGCCCCTCCCAATCCCCGCTCCCCGTCCCCTTCTTCACGAATTGGGTCCCCGACCTACATCCTCCTCCCAATTTAGTTTGGGATCCTCCACGACGTCTTTTCCCCTCTATAACCAGGGAACTTACCTTGCACGCGTCACCCTATCACAGTGACTCTCCTCCGTCCTCCGTCGCCGCATCCCCATCCTGACCGACCGAATCCCCACCCTCTCATCGTCTAGATCCCACATCCTGACACTTCCCCTTCGTCCTGCTCCTGCTACTCCAGCCCCTCAAGCTTTCGATGGCGATCTTCTGCTCTAACTGTTCCTCCATTTACGGGCGCAGGCCTCTATCTTCTCCACCCTGCCTGACAAGGCACCTGACCTCTCCCTAGCGTCCCTTCTCCCCCTGTCTCTCACCATTCGTGGCATGATCCTCGCCTACCGTAGTCCTTCCGACAGCGGCGGTGCACAAATCCGGTCTACATAGCACGCCTACAAAAAGTGGAGTTGCAGCCCTAAACGAATGGATGGATGGAGGGAGGGAGGGAGCGTAGGAGGGATGAACGGTGGGAGGGAGGGAGGGAGGAAAGGGGAGGGAGAAAGAGAGGGGGTCCACTTCGGCACGCTGAGCGAACCCACCTATCTCGCTGTTGGGCCGAGTGGGAACGGAACTCTCCGCCTCTTCACGTACAACACCGCTCTGAGAGAGAGAGATATGGACGGAAGGGGAGGGAGGGAGGGAGGTGAATCCGGGTACGTCCAGGAAAGTCCTAGTAAAAGTATGCCCTAAGAAAAGCAGATGGCGGGGCGAGGGAGAGATGACGACGAGAAAAAGTACAGCTGACAACGACGATTAATGTTGTTGACGATAAGGAGGAGGAGGAGGAGGAGGAGGAGGAGGAGGAGGAGAGGAGAAGAAGAAGGAAGAGGACAAGGAGAAGGAGGAGGAGGAAGAGAAGGAGAACGAGAATAAGGAGGAGGAGAAGGACGAGAAGAACGACTAGGAGGAGGAGGAGGGGCGGATGGGGGAGGAGGAGGAGGAGGGGCGGATGGGGGAGGAGGAGGGGGACGGGAAGGGGAGGACGAGGAGAAAAAGGAGGAAAAGGAGGAACAGTAGGTGGGGGACGAGGAGGAGGAGGACGAGTGGACGTCGGATGCAAATGATGATAAGGAAGGAAGAGGAAGAATGAAGATAACTTTGACGTTCAGAAAGTAGGAGGGGAAGAAAGACGAGGAGAATAAAATATTAATAATAAAAAAGGAAAAGAAAGACGAGGAGGATTCTGTGCTCTCGTTTCGTTTGTTATTAGATCAGTTCTTTGTTTTATTCTGCATCAGGTCCAAAACTTTCCTCTCCGCATCTCCACCTCACGCTCACCCTCTTCATCTTGGAAAATATCTTGGACAATTTTCTTTGCTGATTTACAAATTGTGTCAGTAGGGGAAAGCCCATTTCTGGAATTTTCCGGAAAAGCTTTCGTTATACTGTTCACAAAATGTTCTGGGGAAAAGAAAGGAAAAAACTTTGGAACTTTTCTGACATTTCAGATAGCTTCGGAGTATGATTGCCCGTTCTTGGCCTTTCCCCCAGTTGAAACAACTTTCCTTTCTCCCCATGCTGCTCCTCCTCTGCCTTCCCTCTCCTGTCCTCCTCCTCCTCAGCCTTCTTTCTCTCTGCTCCGCTGCATTCCATAGTAATTTGACCGAAAGTCACTGCACGTCGATCGGTTTCTTATTCGGACAAAAATATACAATCACTCCGCTTGAGAACCTTTTAAACCTCTACAATTCAATAACAAAGGTCCCGCGTCCCGACCATCAGACCTCTCTCTCTCTCTCTCTCTCTCTCTCTCTCTCTCTCTCTCTCTCTCTCTCACACNTCTCTCTCTCTCTCTCTCTCTCTCTCTCTCTCTCTCACACACACACACACACACACACACACACACACACACACACACACACACACATACAAACAAACATACAGGCGAACAGCCAAACAAACAAACAAACAAACAAAACAGACCAAACAGAAAAACAAACAAGATAAAGACACAAACAAAAGAAACAAGCGCACACACGACAACACGCAAGCAGGCTCGCAAACACAGGCCCGCACGCACGCACGCTCACAGGAAATCACAGACAAATACAAATGGGCCTAAAGGAGCTGCTGAACGAAGGAGAAAGCAGGATTGGATGGACGAAAGTAGAGAGACAGAAAGGAATGTAAGGAGGGAAGGAAGGAGCTAACCTCCCATGACAGGGGTAGCCTTCATCTCGCGACGACTACCACTCCGGTCCACTTGCAGCAGCTCCAGGAAACACTGGACCGTCAGAGCTCGGTGACAGTTCCATGGGCAGGCAAGGCAACATCGAGGGGGGGGAACGCAATATGGCATGAACCGACACCTGGTGAGAGCTGCCACGTGCATGGAACCGCACTGTGAGTCACCGACAAGCGGGAGAAGTGGCAAGCTACTGGAACGGGCAGGGGCAGCTGGTCGACGGTTGCGCGGTTGTGCCGTGCAACAGGCACGACGTGGACGTGGTGGCGGCAAGCCTTCCTAAAAGCGTTGCTGCGCTACTGACCAACGGTGCAGAATAGCGAGTAAATTTCAGTAAAATCATTAAATTAATGGGAAAATCGTTGAACAACCTTAAAAGTTTGGATTTTCGTTAGATACCCCTAAACCACAGGGTTATGCTGAACTGCCCCATCGTCAACTTTCCCATATGCCCTGGCCCTGGGCTGCAGAGGCTCATGCATTTCTTTTGCCATCTGCAGGGGTCCGACGGCCAGAAATACAGGGCCATATAGACAAGTTGCCCAGGGCCCGGTGGAGATAAATGCAAGAGATGACAGGTCCCATTGGCGAGTGTGTATGTTGCGAAGTTCCATTACTGTTCATAGTGACATTTAGTCATACCAATGCCATTTAGGGGTATCTGACAAAGTACCCCAACTTTCAGGAGCATTTCGACAGTTTTCCCTAATTGATTCTTTAGAGTGTATATTTGTTGAGAATGTGAAACATACTACCCTGCCAAGTGTTGTTGGGGTAAAAGCCCACAAACCTATTCTGGGTAATGGTCCCAGGTGTGACTGATTCATTTCCCGGTTGTTTGTGAGGAATTCCTGGCATTCAGGAGGTCTTGGGTTCAATCCCCATTGGCCTCATTGACCTTCCTGGGCATGCTTGGCGCCCGTCACCTAGAGATAGCCCGTTGGTCCCCCCAGTTGGCATTAAAAAGCAGTGTCTGCTGATGTTCATACGGGGAGGGGTAATCGGGGAGGCACAGTGACTGGCCACTCAGATGATGGTCGGTCCCTCTGCTACCGGCTGTCCCCTGGCCGGTGTCCCCCATTGGGGGTTCCCTGAAGGCAATCAAGGCCACCCTGGGCTGAAAAGGCCACCTGATGGCAGATTAGACACAACATTGAGTTTACCTGGGCTGGTTAGTCCGATGATAATAATAATAATAAATAATAAAAAATAAAAAAAAAAGAAGGTCAAACATAATGAGGCCGGGGACCCCACAATTCAACCCGGAGTTATCCCGCAGCCTCAGCCGGTGTAGCTTATAGATCTCCATTGTCCCAAACAAAGGACAAGGAAATAACACCTATCTAGTATCTACTTCAACCAAAAAGTAAAAAGAACCGAGATACCTGTTGCAGACAGTACCATACCCCTAAAGTCGGGTGATGGATATCTAGCCTATCAACAGCACCAGGCGAGTTCAGGACAGACAAAGAGGAACAGACGAGACGTTATTGGCATAAGCCAGAGCTAAGTCCAGACCTCTAACTAAGGAAAGGCTAAAGAACTCCTCAAATCCTAATCTTTCAGCAACCAAGGTGGAAACTGAAACGCGCCATTGGGCTTTAGCAGTACCATCTGAGCATTTTGTCCCCAGGCACGGAAGAACCAGCTGGCTGTTTTGGGACTATGCTTACCTCTATATCGCCTTCTCCAGTCTGCAATCACTGTATGCCTAATTTCGGCTTTCACCTTGTTGATGATATCATGAAGCGATAAATGAGAGTGTCAGAACACTTGATCATTACGATCAGTCCACAAAACTCCGAAAATAATCCCTCTGATCACCTGTGCAACATATCCCCAGCCAGCAGCTGCAGACATTCTGATTGGTAGGATACCCAACAAAACCCAGTTCTCATCCCATGGAAAGATATCTTTAGAAATCCTCTTCCAATGTTTTTCCCACCATTTCCATACTCCAAGAGAAAAGGGGCATGCATACCATAGGTGATTGGTGGCCTCCCATGCCCATTTACACCTGCTACACGTGGTTGAAATATCCATTCCTTTGGAGTGTAACCAAACAGCCGAAGCAGTAACCAGCAATGATTGTAACAACAGTATACTAGCCTGCTTTTGTGAAGGCAATATCTTCAGCTGTTTCCAATGCACAAGAAAAACCTTTCGAGTTATACTGTGTAATAATTGTTCCTCCCGTCTACCACGTACGACATCAACTGTTTTTTTTTTGCTCTTTTGTTGTAGTAGTTTAACTCCTCTCCCTGTTGAATACTGCGTCAACCCAACCGGTTTTAGATTCTTCTGATCCACCCAGCCAAAAGCTCCCGGATGTATAGGCAGGTTACTCAGAGTCCTTCCGCCTGCCACTAGCTTCACTTTTGGGCAACATTCGCCAGCTGTTGGCTCTGTCTGCAATGTCTCACCTGTGTGTTGACTGTGTTGCACCTCCGTCAGTATGTGACAAGAACCTTCTAGCGAGCTCAACGAAACCGTGTCTTTAAAGAACAGTAGTCTAGTATAGGACACTAACTCATTTGCCTGCCAGACTTCAACTGACACCTCGCCCTCAACTACGGGACCCAGCACGTGCCAGTAAGTCTGTTGGTCTATTCCTGGAGCCTTCAGCCAACTATCATAGGTTGGCTGAGAAGACATAGTTTGAGTCCATCCCTGTGGTAAGGAATTCAAAATATCAGCCAAACGCTCACCTACTTTCCTCAGACATCTTAACGGTTTTTCGTTCTCCAATCATTCAAATCCCTATCCCATAAATCGCCTAAACAGAATATCCCCCTTTCAATCCAAGCCTTCCCAACCTGGAGAATCCTGAGCTGAAAAGGAATGGCCTTCTGGGTCTCGAAGATAAGGATTCTTGAAGATAGGTTGCAAAAGGATTTCATCAAGGGACTCAGGGGGGTTTAAGTTGGCTGGTAGGACTTTGGACCAAGCATACAAAATATCCTTCCAAAACCGAGACTGAGGTCTCTTCCAGTTATATAACTCTATAAACATACAACGCCATACGTCAGGTGGATCGCTCAAGTTTCATTCCTCACCTAAAATATATTTTGCCGGCCAAATCCAAGCATGTTTCTGCTTTGCTAACACCGCCTTGATTGGCCATTTTGCCAGCAATGCAATGTTATGACACTTGGGGTCAAGAATGTCAAAACCTCTCGAGGGAAATTGAGTGATTCCCACACAACTTTAGATAGAAAACCTTCTTCCTCTTCTGCTTTGGGTTTCTAGAGAAATTTGGTCGTTGTATTCCTGATCTTCTTGTAGGCCTGATCGCCTAGCAAATGAACTTGCATTGGATACCACAGGATTGAGAAGGCTGAAGACGTAAGCACCAACACCTGCCCCAGTAGTGAAAGGTGACGTGTCAAATCCCATTTATTAATCCTCTGACAGACTTTCTCTTATAGCAGTTGTTCCTGCAATTCAGAATTATCTGTCAGCGATACTTGGACTCCAAGATAACGATCAGAAGCATCTGAAGGAATTTGTCTCATGCCCCAATCCACTTGTAGTTGAAAATGTGAGGGCAAAAAGAATACAAATTTGTTCAAATTTATTGAGGCCTCACATAATATAGAATATACAGATAGTAAGGAATTTTCATCATTCAGACAGGTTATGGTTAGGTCATTTGCCAAGGCACCTCCTTTCCATTGAAACTAATTATGTAATTCCGGTCCAATAATTTGATCATTCTTTCTTATATTATCCAATAAAACTTTCAGGTCCAACACAAAGAAGAGAGGGGTCAAAGGGCAACCCTATTGTAACGAGTGTAAAAGATCAAATTCTTGAGAGAGTTGACTATTGACCATAACCATTGTTGTAGAGGTAAAATACATTACTGAGACCCATTTGCTAAAATTAGGTCAAAAACCCATGTGGGTAAGAGTTGTACCCACAAATGTCCAACCTACCTTATCATATGCCTTTTCCATATCGATAAGGAGTACAACAACATTCTTGTTCTCCTTCACGATAATTTCCAGCGTCTGAATGGCAGCCGCAATGTTATCCATTATGGACCTATATTTAACAAACGTACCTTGATTCGTTCCTATCAAATCAGGTAGGTATTAGCTAAACACAATGTTAGGGCCTTCGCTAAAATTTTATGGGACATATTCAATAAGGAAATTGGTCTCCAATTTCGTATATCCAATTTATCCCCTTTTTTATATAGCAAACTAATGACCCCTTGTTGCATACCTTTTGACAGGGAACCGCCCACCAAAACGCTATTGTATATTTCTACCAAAGTCGGGACAATGGAATCCCGTAAGGCAATTTAAATTTTCACCGGTAATCCGTCATTCCCTTGACATTTCCCATAGGTCATCTGTCCCGCGACAATTTTTACTTTTCCCACAATGAAGGGTCTATGCAGATCCAGTCTGCCTTGTTGAGAAAGGCTAACTTCAGTTCTAGTCCAAAATGAAAAAGTTTCCCTCAAGTCAGTAGCGAAGGAGTCAAGCGGGCGACGTGTTATCAAAGTATCTTGAAAATACATTTGAGCATATTGGCACATTCCTTGTGGGTCAGATTTCATAGGTGCAGAGTTCGCAAAGGGGTGAGTCAGTTCTCTAATCAAGGGTTTGGTTTTCTAAAGTAGAAACCTGCGAAAAGTTTCACGATTAAGTCTGCCATTTGTAATAATCTCTTTCTGATACAGTTATGCCTTCCATGTCTCTTGTTGAGCGATCTGCAGACTATCCAACTCTGTCAGAACTGCGGTCCAGTAGGCGTCTCAGACTGAGTACTTGCCAAAAAAAAAATTCGCTTCCTTTATTTTTTTAATTAGTTTTTGCTCTGCACGGTTTCCTTCAATGACCTTGATTCTTGAAAAAAATATCAAAGTAATGTTTCATTATATTAATGTCTGTGTCAAACCATGATTCTACATTTGAGAACAGTTCCCGAGCTTTTTGACATTCTTCCAAGTGAGTTTTGGCCCAATTAGGAAAGTTTTCATCCTTCAAGTGTTCCACATTGAGCCGAAAGGGAGGTCTAACCGCATTAGTTGGGTCTTGAATGTCGAGTTCTGAGGTAACGGGATAGTGGTAAAACATATAAGATCTACCAATCTCCACTTTCAGGTACCTATCCCAAATAGTACCTCTGACTAGAAAAAAATCAAGCCTTCGTCTGACGGGCGGGACCTGGGAACCGAACCATGTGTAGCCTTGAGTGTCTGGGTGAAGTGTGCGGTAGGCGTCTACTAATTGTTGAGATTCCATCAGCGTCAGGAGTAAGCGTCCGCCTGCCCGCAAAGACT